ATTCTCACCCTTATTGCTGTAGGGTTGGCACTAGAAGCTTTCTTGGGGCCCATGGTCACTTATTTTCCAGAAAAAGCACCGAAAACACTGTAATAATACGAAATATTCCAATTGTATGCTTGGATGTTACCGTGGAGGCTGGCTGGTAAACAATGCCACCGGCGGAACATGTGAGTGTGGCTCAGGCCGCACATTGGACGCGTCTTGGACGAAAATCGGTGAGCGGGTTTTTAAGCGGTATGCGAGGCAAAATTTTTGCGATTAAAGCAAGCGGTATGCGGATTAATCGTTATGTGATGCCATCGGTATGCGGGGGTCCACTGTATCCCAAACCCCTCCTTTAAAGTGCAGGCATTGTACTTCCCATTTCCAGGACTCAAAGTCCGACTATATGAAAATAACCGGTTTCCCTGAATCCCTTCACTAAATATTACCCTGCTCACACTCCAACAGATCGTCGGGTCCCAAGTACCATTTGTCTCCATTCACTCCTATCTAACACGCTCAAGCACGCTTGCTGGAAGTCCAAGCCCCTTGCCCACAAAACCTCCTTTACCCCCCTCTCTCCAACCCTTTCGAGGACGACCCCTACCTCGCCTTCCTTCCCCTATAGATTTATATGCTTTCCATGTCATTCTACTTTGATCCATTCTCTCTAAATGACCAAACCACCTCAACAACCCCTCTTCTGCCCTCTATCTAATACGTACTTTTATTAACTCCACACCTTTTCCTAATATCCACACTCCGAATTTTCTGCATAATATTTACACCACACATTGCCCTTAAACAGGACATCTCCACTGCCTCCAACCGTCTCCTCGCTGCTGCATTTACCACCCAAGCTTCACACCCATATAAGAGTGTTGGTACTACTATACTTTCATACACTCCCTTCTTTGCCTCCATAGATAACGTTTTTTGACTCCACATATACCTCAACGCACCACTCACCTTTTTTCCCTCATCAATTCTATGATTAACCTCATCCTTCATAAATCCATCCGCCGACACGTCAACTCCCAAGTATCTGAAAACATTCACTTCTTCCATACTCCTCCTCCCCAATTTGATATCCAATTTTTCTTTATCTAAATCATTTGATACCCTCATCACCGTACTCTTTTCTATGTTCACTTTCAACTTTCTACCTTTACACCATTCCCAAACTCATCCACTAACCTTTGCAATTTTTCTTTAGAATCTCCCATAAGCACAGTATCATCAGCAAAAAGTAACTGTGTCAATTCCCATTTTGAATTTAATTCCCCAAAATTTAATCCCACCCCTCTCCCGAACACCCTAGCATTTACTTCCTTTACAACCCCATCTATAAATACATTAAACAACCATGGTGACATTACACATCCCTGTCTAAACCTACTTTTACCGGGAAGTAGTCTCCCTCTCTTCTACACACCCTAACCCAAGCCTCACTATCCTCATAAAAAACTCTTTACAGCATTTAATAACTTACCACCTATTCCATATATGTACTTGCAACATCTGCCACATTGCTCCTCTATCCACTCTATCATATGCCTTTTCTAAATCCATAAATGCAATAAAAACTTCCCTACCTTTATCTAAATACTGTTCACATATATGCTTCAATGTAAACACTTGATCTACACATCCCCTACCCACTCTGAAACCTCCTTGCTCATCCGCAATCCTACATTCTGTCTTATCTCTAATTCTTTCAATTATAACCCTACCGTACACTTTTCCTGGTATACTCAGTAAACTTATTCCTCTATAATTTTTAGTCTCTTTTGTCCCCTTTCCCGTTATATAAAGGGACTATACATGCTCTCCGCCAATCCCTAGGTACCTTCCCCTCTTTCATACATTTATTAAACAAAAGTACCAACCACTCCAACACTATATCCCCCCCTGCTTTTAACATTTCTGTCATGATCCCATCAATTCCAGCTGCTTTACCCCCTTTCATTCTACGTAATGCCTCATGTACCTCCCCCACACTTACATTCTGCTCTTCTTTACTCCTTAAAGATGGTATACCTCCCTGACCAGTGCATGAAATTACTGCCTCTCTTTCTTCCTTAACATTTAAAAGTTCCTCAAAATATTCTTGCCATCTACCTAATACCTCCATCTCCCCATCTACTAACTCCCCTACTCTGTTTTTAACTGAAAAATCCATACTTTCCCTAGGCTTTCTTAACTTGTTTAACTCACTCCAAATTTTTTTCTTATTTTCATTAAAATTTCTTGACAGTGCCTCTCCCACTCTATCATCTGCTCTCCTTTTGCACTCTCTCACCACTCTCTTTACCTTTCTTTTACTCTCCATATACTCTGCTCTTCTTATAACACTTCTGCTTTGTAAAAACCTCTCATAAGCTACCTTTTTCTCTTTTATCACACCCTTTACTTCATCATTCCACCAATCACTCCTCTTTCCTCCTGCCCCCACCCTCCTATAACCACAAATTTCTGCCCCACATTCTAATACTGCATTTTTAAAACTATTCCAACCCTCTTCAACCCCCCCACTACTCATCTTTGCACTAGCCCACCTTTCTGCCAATAGGAAATTGTACAAAAAAACGAGGGAGTGGTTGACGCATCGTCAGTGTGGCTTTGTTTATGCTGGAGTGAACATTAGTCTCCCTGCTCTTCCAAACATTTCACAATAATTCAGCGGTTGAGGCAGTGGTATTTAATAACATGTAAGTTATAAATAATAATAGTACATATTATTAATAACATGTATTATTATTATTATTAATAACATGTTTTTTTTTTTTTCAACAAGTCGGCCGTCTCCCACCGAGGCAGGGTGACCCAAAAAAGAAAGAAAATCCCCAAAAAGAAAATACTTTCATCATTCCACACTTTCACCACACTCACACATTATCACTGTTTTTGCAGAGGTGCTCAGAATACAACAGTTTAGAAGCATACACATATAAAGATACACAACATATCCCTCCAAACTGTCAATATTAATATTAATATTAATAACATGTATGTTATTAAATACCACTGCCTCAATTGCTTCCTCAACCGCTGCCTCAACCACTGCTTCAATCGCTTCCTCAACTGTTGCCTCAACCACTGCCTCAATCGCTGCCTCAACAGCTGCCTCACCCACTGCCTCAATCGCTTCCTCAACAGCTGCCTCACCCACTGCCTCAATCGCTTCCTCAACAGCTGCCTCAACCACTGCCTCACCCACTGCCTCACCCACTGCCTCAATCGCTTCCTCAACAGCTGCCTCACTCACTGCCTCAATCGCTGCCTCACCCACTGCCTCAATCGCTGCCTCACCCACTGCCTCAACCGCTGCCTCACCCACTGCCTCAACCGCTGCCTCAATCGCTGCCTCAACAGCTGCCTCAACCGCTGCCTCAACAGCTGCCTCAATCGCTGCCTCACCCACTGCCTCAACAACTGCCTCAATCACTGCCTCACCCACTGCCTCAACAGCTGCCTCACCCACTGCCTCAATCGCTGCCTCAACCACTGCCACTACCACTCCAGTCGCACTCAATCTACAAGCACCAAACACAATGAATTATTGTGAAATGTTTGGAAGAGCAGGGAGACTAATATTCACTCCAGCATAAACAAAGCCACACTGACGATGTGTCAACCACTCCCTCGTATTTTTGTACAATTTCCTTCTTCAATTATATTGTATTTATTATTATTATTATTATTATTATTATTATTACTATTATCATTATTAGCAGTAGCAGAAATGTTTGATTCTTTGCCGTGTTCAAGAGTAAACACATGATGTCACCGTCTAATACCTGTCCGAATAGCCATCCCAATATGCAGTCATGAATGGGTTTACATTATTTATACTGTAGTTTAATAGCAAATAATGAACAAACAAAACACTCACCACACTGAGTGGTGGGAGAGCTGGCTGCCAGTTGCGGGGGTCGGTGGGAGGGTAGTAGGGACTCGCAGGTGGCGGGAAACTTAAATATGATTTGGCGGCTGGGAATTTGGTGGCTGGGAATTTGGTGGTTGGGAATTCGCGAATGTGTGAAGCCCGCGAAAGCTGAAAACATTAATGTTGAGGGAGACCTGTATTTTAAAAACCACCAAATTAATTGATAGTTTATTTCTACATTTTTGAAAACTTTTATCATTACCCTTATAATGTTCACTGATCTTCGACAGCCTCAAAACAAACTTGGAATGAACTCAATGAATTTTTTTTTTTTTAAATTCATACACAAACTATCATATTTATAGTATTGCAAATAAACTTTACTTGGTGTACAATATTTTAGATATGCAAATGATTTTTCCCATTTAACTTTAACACAAAAAAACTTACTGGTGTCAAAATTAGATGAATAGGTCAAAACTCTTGAAAAACTAACATATACTGCAGAATGAATTTTCAGACACTGGTATAGGTTCAGTAGCAAGGGAATTGCCAGAAGTTTTTTAATGCTTACTAAAGATGTATGGATAGTATTACAATATTATTTGGGGGAAGGGATTTTAATTGCAACTATCCAATTTTAAAATGTCCTTTCAGCTTCTATTTTTAAATATTTACTTAATAAAAACTACTTGATCAATGCTAATGAACAGGTTAGCTCAATACTTTTAACATCAGATAAGCCTGACCAAGGGCTGAGTTGTGGGGGCAAGAAAACTCTCGAAACCTATCAAGAATAAACGTGCATTAACGTGCAGCTAAGCAAAACACACATCAAAAGATATACTTTCCTCTCGTGAAAAGCAAAGCTTGAGACAGTAGAGTGGAGACATGACCTGAGAATACTTGTGATCTAGACAAAGTGAGCATCAGTGAAAACTCGTACCTGGCATAAACCCGTGTGTGTGTTGATACTGCACCCACACCAGTGGTAAAATCAGTCAAGCACATGTATGCACTGTATTATACATTACACATTTTTTATCATTAACTTTAAATAAAAAGAATAATAAAGCAAATAAAGTGACACAATCTGATGAATGGAGAATTATCTGCCAAGAAAAACTTGCAAGTGAATTAGTCATGTAGTATCCACTATACTTGTGAAACAAGCCCACAGATGTTGGGTACTCACTGGAGTTGGATAAGCAAAAGCTTGTGGGGCCATGGGCTGAGGAGGGTAGCCTATAAATCCTGTTGGAGGGATGTTCATGCCACCTCCGCTGCCACTGTAGCCACCACCTGATGCACCATCATTTCCAAGGTTATTTTTTTCATCCAAGCTAATCAGTGGGTCTTGTCCCCACTCCTCTTCACGCATCACCTAAATATATAACAATAAAGCTTTCTTAAAAAAAAAACAATCAATTATTCATGCATATATTACCAGCATCTCCCACTCCTATATGAATTCTATACTAATTTTGTCTAATGGGTTACCAGTTAAAAATATACTAATTGTACTACGATGCTCAATTTTTCATAAGCTACATTATTTTAAGAGTAAGAGACAACTTCTTAAGACAGACATAACTGACACATACCTGAGGATCAGGTTCATACTCCACATTATAATTTTTTGCAATTTCAACCAAATATTTCTCCACTAGCACTTTAGGTGGAGCTTGCACACCAAGCTTGTGGATTAGCCGTTCACTTATTGTTGCAACTTGTTGCTCTCGACAAGCCTACAAACAGAAGGAACAGTTTAGGTTGATGCTTTGCATGCTACAGCAATACCCAGTGTTTGGTGCAACAACAGTACATAAAAGGCAGTGCTAACTCAGATGATGGAAATTTTTGCAATTAATGAGGCAAAAGTCAGAAATAGTGAAATTTATGTTAAACTGGAAATTTTAGTTTATTGGACATTAGATAAGTGGGGCTCTACTTTAACGCTGCAGTACATAGCAAGCAAATTCCTATTTATAAGAGTAGAAATAAAAAGTAGCAAGTAATGAAGAGACTTAATTGGGAAAACATAAAGATGTGCTCAGGAGTCAACAAAGGTATCAGGTCAAAATATACTATGCAGAATTTGTAATGCAGTAATAGACACAGTAGCAGTATTAAGTTCAGATAAAATGTGAAAATAAAAGGGTTCCACTACTGTATAAATCTAAACACTTGTTAAGAATTAATGTTTGGGACTATTCTACTGCTAGAATTACTACACAAATTTAACCCTTTGACTGTTTTGGTCGTATATATACGTCTTACAAGCCACCATTTTTGAAGTACATGTATATGTACTCATAAATTCTAGCGGCTTCAAATCAAGCAGGAGAAAGCTGGTAGGCCCACATGTGAGAGAATGGGCCTGTGTGGTCAGTGTGCACCATATAAAAAAAATTCTGCAGCATGCAGTGCATAACGAGAAAAAAAAACTGGGACCGTTTTTTTAAATTAGAATGCCGAGTTTGTGGTCTATTTTCGTATAGTATTTATGGTTTTATTCTCGTTTTCTTTGTCTCATTTGATAGAATCGAAAACATATTATAGAAATAGAGGTGATTTTGATTGGTTTTACTAGGAAAAGAACCTTTAAATGGAGCTCAAAGTAGGAGAAATGCTTGATTTTTGCCGATGTTCAAAAGTAAATAAATGATGTCATTTTCCAATAAATGTCCAAGTAGCCATTCTAATATGCAGTCATGAATGGGTTGACATTATTTATACAATTATTGCAATATTGCAGTAGTCTGCATAACAGTAAATCTTCTATTTTTTGTTTGAATAAAAATTCAGAATAGAAAGAAAGAGTAATATCAGAGGGGCCCGGAGACGTGACTGATGAACAAAGAAAATGTTATTTTAGAGCCAGGAATGTTTGCATTGTTCATTCTGGACCTTATTTTGAAATTGTCATATTTTTTCATTTTCATGAAATTGGCCAAATTGCAAATTTCTGACCACATTATTGGGTAGCTGAAATCGGTAAATGGGCAGTTTCTTGTACTCAGTTGATACAAAAAATGGAGTTCTAAAGAAATAGCTATGAGTTTGGTCGACTGGAACAATGGAATTAGCCGAAAATAGGGCTCAAAGTGGGAGAAATCGCCGATTCGTAAATATTGCCGAGGTCGCTAACTTCGCGAAAGCGTAATTCCGTCAGCTTTCCATCAAATTTTGTTCTTTTGGTGTCATTACAGTCGGGAAAAGATTCTCTATCATTTCACGAGAAAAAATAATTTTTTTTTAAATTTTGCAACACCAAGAGACACCTCAGGATTTGGGGTTGCGACAGTCAAGGGGTTAATTACAAGTCACTCAAGAAACTGAGTAATATATGTAAAAATCCACCCTTGAAAAGTAATACTGTTAGGTAGTAGGTTAGTAGACAGGAACTGCCCAGGGAGGTACAGTGGAACCTCGGTTTTCGTTTGCCCTGATTTTCATCAAAATTTTGTCCAAGTTTTCATTCATCACCTCAGTTTTCGTCGAGTTGACAGTGGTCTGCTGTATCAAACGTGTCCTCCTGCGCCCACACAAAGCATCCCACATGTCCTGAGTCAGTCTGGATTTGTTTCTCGTCAGTAGAGGGTGGTAGTGATGGTGGTAGAGGGTGGTAGTGATGGTGGTAAAGGGTGGTAGTGATGGTGGTAAAGGGTAGTAGTGATGGTGGCAAAGGGTGGTAGTGGTTGTGATGGTGGTAGAGGGTGGTAGTGGTTGTGGCATGGTGGTTAGCAGGGTGGTAGTGATGGTGGCAGAGGGTGGTAGTGATGGTGGCAGAGGGTGGTAGTGATGGTGGCAGAGGGTGGTAGTGATGGTGGCAGAGGGTGGTAGTGATGGCAGCAGAGGGTGGTAGTGATAGTGGCAGAGGGGGTGAGTGGTATGAGGTGGCAGAGGGAGTGGTGGGGGTGGTAGTGATGGTGGCAGAGGGTGGTAGTGATGGTGGCAGAGGGTGGTAGTGATGGTGGCAGAGGGTGGTAGTGATGGTGGTAGAGATAACCTCTCCTCCCTCTCCTCTCCTCGCCGTCTTCCATACGCCAGCAAGAGTCTTCAATAAAGATAAAAGTGATGTTAAATGTTCATTTATCCATTTCATTAGTCCTTTATATTCATTTCTCATTGTTTTCTGTATGTAAAACTATAGTTATTCTCTATAAAATGTATTTTTTGTTAATACTTTTGGGTGTCTGGAACTGATTAATTGGATTTACATTATTTCTCATGGGAAATATTGCTTCAGTTTTCATTGAATTCGGTTTTCATCAGACTTTCTGGAACAAATTAATAATGAAAACTGAGGTTCCACTGTACTACCGTCCTGCCACGCGAGTGTAAAACAGAAGCCTTTAATTTATTTACATGATGGTAGGACTGCTGGTGTCTTTTTTCTGTCTCAAACATGCAAGATTCCAGGCATGTCTTGCTACTTCTACTTACGCTTAGGTCACACTACACATGCATGTACAAACATATATGTATATTCTTTCTTTCTTTCAATGTACCAGCTGTATCCCACTGAGGTGGGGTGGCCCAAAAGGAAAAACGTAAGTTTCTCCTTTTAAATTTAGTAATATATACAGGAGAAGGGGTTACTAGCCCCTTGCTCCCGGCATTTTAGTCGCCTCATATACGTATACATATACATGTATATATATTTTTTTTTCAAGTCGGCCATCTCCCACCTAGGCAGGGTGACCCAAAAAGAAAGAAAATCCCCAAAACAAAAATACTTTCATCATCATTCAACACTTTTGCTTCACTCATAAATAATCACTGTTTTTGCAGAGGCACCCAGATACAACAGTTTAGAAGCATATATAAAGATAAATGTACAATATACGTATATATACATCCCCTCTGGGTTTTCTTCTTTCTTACTAGTTCTTGTTCTTGTTTATTTCCTCTTATCTCCGTGGGAAAGTAGAACAGAATTCTTCCTCCCTAAGTCATGCGTGTCGTAAGAGGTGACTAACATGCTGGGAGCAAGGGAGCTAGTAACCCCTTCTCCTGTACACATAACTAAAGTTAAAAAGAGAGACTTTTCTTTTTCTGTTTGGGCCCCTTGCCTCAGTGGGATACAGCTGGTTTGTTGAAAGAAGAAGAAAAAGTAATACTGCATTACTGTATATTACTGGACATCAGTCACCCTTAGCCATAAAACATGGGTAGGTAGGTGGGAATGCTCTCCCTCATATAATCAGGTTTTTGCTTAACCCCAGACATAAAATGTGATATAGATAAATGATTCAGAGAACTGACAGGATGATGAATTAGACATCTGTGCAACACTTGGGTATCTTTATTGAGGAAATATTTTGCTAACCAGTGGCTTCCTCAGTCCAATACAGAGAAGAACTGTTGAAGATCAGAAGGAGTTTGAGATAATCAGTCCCTCAGCCAGGAGTTGATGAGATCAGCCCATTAGTCTTGATAAGAGTATAGCAATTCTTCTCTGCAAAAACACTTCCACAATAAAGATACCTAAGTGTTACACAAGTGTCTAATTCATCATAAGATGGAATGGAGGGTATATTTAGAGGCCTCACAGATGGGAGCAAATCTACCATTACCACCAAATTATGGGCAGTTTTAAAAATAGTTTGGACAACAGCACAAGTGGAAGTAGTTGGGAATGACCTAAACCTGCCTAGCATGGGCCAGCAAGCATACTACAGTATTCTACAAATGTTTTAATGTATCTACATGCAGTGTTTTCATATCCTTTACATCATCAGGGCTAAATTGTAAGGATAATGGAAATAATGTACATATACACATTCAGAGGGACCTCAAGATTTACATATCCTCTGCCTCCCTTCATCTGCATACTGAGGGTTTAAATGAGAGCCAACTGAATATAATGTCAATACAGTACCTTCTGAATGTAAAGTGTACATTAGTTTAGTTGCTGTTAAACTTGTATTTAATGATGCATTAACAAGTCAGAGGTTATGAGCACACATGTTCTGATCCTGAAGGACCATCTGTCCGCTTCCCTTCAATTGCAAAATCAGCGTTGAATTGAGGGAAAACTTGATACATCAATATAAAAACTACTGTATATACACCATCACCATGCATCAATTTGATTGTGATAAACAAGTGTGCATGGCTCAGCTGCATTTGCTTTTTCATATGGGTACCCCCTCCCATGATTAACTGGTATTTGACATAAGAACATATGAAAGGAGGAGCACTGCAGCAGGCCTACTAGCCCACATTAGGCAGATCCAGCTCACACCCATTCATGTGCCTGTCTAACCTGTTTTTAAAGCTACCCAAAGTTCTTGCTTATTTGAAAATTAAAAGGAAATATATTGTTCCTCTTTGGTTTAAAATTCACGAAGTGTGATTCCAAGTCTTAACATGCAGACATGAAGCACCAGCATTTAAATGGCACTATAACAAATGGTTCCCATGTTGTGATTCTGTCTGAGGAGAAAGATCGCCATGATTTATATATCCTCTATCTCACTCCATTTACATAACTAGAGTAACAATAAAAGGAGAGGTTAGGTAAGATTCTTCAGGAAACAGGTCATGTCATGAAAGGAAACTGGATAAAATTTGTATTGCATCAGTTTGGTTGATAAGTAAGTAGTATGTGATAAACAAATGCACCATGTTTAGCTGGTGTCATCTGGGAGTCCCCCTTCCTTCCCTCCTACCACTCTTCCCTCACTCCCTACCAATGCTCCTTCATGTTTCTTATTTAGGGTTTGTGTACATTTTTTTT